GATTTGGCTGGAAGCCAACGCTGACTCGACCTTTTTCTCAAAACTTCGGATAATCATTCGCTTCTATCGTCAATTTTGCCACCTCCAAGCGGCAAATCTACGAGAAGACAAAGATTTACTAATCGCGTAGCTCGATGAAGCCACAAAACGAGCACAACATTCGCCAGAAGAGGCTTTGCTCATGTAGCGTCGTGGAGCATTACGCACGCCCCTAGCAAACGTCTAGGAGCGAAAGTTGGCAGGTCGGAAAGCTCAATCAAGAATCAAGTGGAAACAGCGAGGGGATCAAGTAAGCTGAGACTTTTTTCAAGCGGTACGCGAGCTGGGATCCAATGCACAAATCATTGCCCTCTACGATCAACACGGGGTTCGCGTCACAAGCCGGAAGACGATTGAAGAGCGTGTCATGTCCTATTAGCAGGAATTTTATGCTGAACAAGTACCCACAAACAGTCATCGAGCTGCCGAGGTGGTCATTATCAAACTCATCCCTGCATCATTTATTGATAAATTTCCGACATGATTCCTTGAGGACCTAGGTAGAAAACCGAGGAACTAGAAGTCCTAGCGGCGCTAAAAAAAATGGCAGAGGGAAAAAGTCTAGATCTAGACGGCGTCCTTACAAAATTCTACCTAAAATTCTGGGGACTGATAAGAACATACTTTTGCCAAATGCTCACCACTGCTTTCGATGACGGGTAATTTGCACCAAGAATGAACATAGGGTTGATGGTGCTTCTGCCATAAGAAGGCGAGATGAAAATGATCAAAAATTGGCGACATAGTACGTTGTTGAATACTTCATACAAAATATGAGCAAAAGTATTTCAACTTCGACTCCAGGCGTTATTACCCGAGGTCATCCATGAAGGACAGACGGCCTTCTTACCCTCGCACTACATATTAGATGTTGTTATTGTGCAGAATGAAACGATTTCCTGGGCCCAAAAATCCGATCAGGAGCTCATCATGCTTAAATTGGACTTCCGCAAGGCCTAGGGACAGTGTATAGTGGTACTTTATGTTCAAAGTCATGACAAAGATGGGCATTTCGGACTCATTTGTTAAGATGCTACAGAACCTACTTATGGATGCGTCGGCAGCTGTCTTCATTAACGGCCTCAGCACTGAAGCTTTATTGATTAGGCGAGAAGTTCGGCAGGGATGGCCCCTCGCCCCTTATCTATTTCTTATTATTTCTTATCTATTATTGCAGAATCACTATCAACGATCTCCAATTATGATCTTTCCACAGGCCGATCAAAAGGTATTATAGTCAACCTGTGGAACTTGTTGAGTAACTCCTTGATGAAGTTACTCAACAAGTGGTGTCGCAATTTGCTGACGACACCACTTACTCTATTCAGGCGATTGAGAGAAATCTCACTACCGTCTCCAACCTGCTCTGAGACTTTGGACTAGCAACAAGGCTCATGATCAATCGTGAGAAGTGCGCTCTTTATTGGTATAGTCGCGGGCCCACTTCACAGTGGTTAGCAAATTTTGGATGTGGATTGCCCCACCAAATTCTCTCTCTAAGTTGCTTGAAACGCCCTTTGACATCTATTTAACGACGACAGTTGTCGATGTCTTTCTCGCTAAGAAGATCGACCGCAAGCTACATTACTTGAAGATTGTTCATCTTTCCTTGGCAGCCTTGACAGTGATTGTGAACTCTGTGTTATTGTCGACAATGTGGTACTTTCTCACTTTATGGGGCGGATCGAAGGCAATACTTAACAACATTCGCGCATCACTTCAAATTTTATTATGGTTAGGGAATGAGGAGCACTTCCAAGCTCAAGTTTGATGGACCGATTGGGGTTGATAGACCCACAAGAAGCCTTGACCGCACTCACAAACAAATGAATAATACGAGCTTTAATGCCCGGCGAGTTTGAGTGGCTAGGCGTGCTCCAAGACCTCTGGCGACGGAACCAACTATCATCTTTCAGGCAGCGGAGGACTTTCTTCCTTCCATTCCGACTTGAATAACTGATACGATCTTGCCGGCTAGGTATCTAAGTTTCTACCTAGGGACGGGCTCTAGACGCATATTGGCGGTCCAAACCCAGCACCAGCACCAAAGGAGCAAGTCTATAGATGCATACTCCAACGCATTCACGTCATTACGATTCCGAGCAACACTCAGAAACGCGCAAGCAGGATGTATTACTTGGCGCCGTTGTGCAGGTTGATATTTGATCCAGGTCGTTGATGTTGGTGAGGTGGCGATCAATTCTACACTTACACGGCTAAGAAAGGCTAGATACTTCATCGACCGCAAACTCATCTCTCCCGCATTATCCATGAGGAATGGAACGGAGTGCTACTAGCGTCACTCGCGTTGGATTGGAAGGAAGTGTGGACAGGCCCACGGCCGCAAAAAGAAGTAGCATTTTTGTGGAGTACTTATCATCAGGCCGTCGCAGAGAGCTAGTGGCGCCATCAAGCCTTTGCAGAAACATCCGATCTATGTGTTTGTTGTGAGACAGGAGAACCCGAATTAGTATTGCATTGCTTTTTCAACTGTAGGATGGAAGTATATGCTTGGACCTTCGCAATGTTAGTGTTGCATGCCCCTGCAGGAACTCCAGTTTTGAGCCTGTCGTGGCATTTCTTCTCTTGGGAGAAATGCGTGTTAGGTAAGCCGCTTTCGCTTTATCTTCAGCAAGTGTAAAAGTTCTGGTCGTTCATCCGGTGAGCGGTCTTTTGGTACCACAGGATCCACAGGAATCAGTTAGTCTTCCACAACCACAGATGGCCACCAGCGCTCCCCGGATTAACGTATATGGAATGCGGTAATCTACTTGGGCAGCGCCTAAGATTGATTGGTGCGAGAGGCACCAACCACATGGTGTGCCACATGCAATCACAGAGCTCAATGTCATATGGAACCATGCATGGGTTTTTTTTCCTCGAAGAGATGATAAGGTAGTGTGGAACTACGACAGTTCACCTCTTGCCACTTTTATCTCTACGTAATCAGGTTGTTCATAGGCTTTTCAGGTTGAAAATAAAAAAATTAGATTTTGCCAGTATCCCTCAGGGTGTTCGGCTTGTGGCGGTGTTTTGTTCGTCTTTGCAGTGGAATAAAGTCACCGTTTGCTTCAAAATAAAAAATAAATAAAAAATGCAAATAATTACAGTAGTCGGGAGACTACTGTAATTGTACTGCATCGCATTCTATACCAAAGTATATAATATATAAAAAGAAAGTTCAAATGTCACTTTAACTTTCTTCTCATCATTGTGCAACCAGATAAAACTCATAGAAGACTTTAATCTCCATGACAATTAACTTCATAGTATACTTATTACAAAATAATTTTGAAATTTTGAAGTACATTTGCTTAGAGTCATACACAATAATATAACGATAGACACAAAAATTATGCGATCTATCATATATAGTATCAAATTATTCAAATTGTGATATATAAAATAAATCGAACTGATCATGTAATTCATAATTTATTATTTGAAATTTATGAATCAAATTTGGAATGAAAGTTATGAAGGTAAATTTTATTAAAATCCTTTCATCGAAGGTATATTTATATTGAAAAATCAGAATGATTAAATTTTACTTTAAAAAAATATTTTTCACAGTTTTAATTTTAATTATATATAATTTTTACGTATGAATAAGCTTCTTTAAGATTGCAGATATAATAATTATATTTATATTCATGTAATATAAAATTCATATAAAATATATCTCAGAAATACTCTAAGGTACTACATATGTTCTAGAGGTGATAAAAATAATCTCGTATTTCTATTTTAATGAAGTAATCAAAGATATTATTCAGATGTTCAAGTGAATTACAGTATTGAAAATATATCTAATATTCTATCTAAGAATTTGTCTTTGTTGAAGGCATATGGACGTAACTCAATCAAAGTCTTATAATATTGTTTGGAAGATCTTAACATAAAATTTAAAAAATATTTCAAAATTTTGAAGTTGAAAAAAAAAGTAACATAAATTTAGCTAGCAATTATAAGAATTGCTTTCTAAGTTTAAAATTAGAATAATATTAACTTAGTATCAATATACACAAGAGAAGATATACATCTTTGATAATCTATTTAAAATTTTAGATAAAATTTGTATTTTGGTATAGATCCACACCATGAATCTTCAATTTAAAAATATCTATATGTAATTTATGTAATCTTCACAACGAGACAGTCTCTTAAATGAGTTGTCTGAATCATAATTTCAGGCTTTAGGGTAAGTTTCATGTCGTATACAACAGAATAAAACCTAGTATACGGAAATTTGTAAGAAATATAATACGTACAAATGTCAGATTCCTCCGAGCATCAACAATTGATCTGAAGACCACGATGGCCACTTCAAATATCCACATGTTAAAGAAGAACCAATGACTTGCAAAAGTCATCAATACTTTTCTGCTAACTCTTCTTGGAATGGGCAAGTCCCCTCATCTCATAAAAAAGATGAGGTCTTGCCATTCTTGTTGCTACATCACTTGGTTCCCTCTCAAATTAAGATAAGATGAGAGCTTGTGTGCATAAATCATCACTAACTGGATTATTTTGCTTTCGATTTGTGAAACGCGAATTGAGTTCATAGTATAAATTGACATTATATCAGAACGACCAAAAACATCGAAATGCTTTGTGTCTGAAGTTGCTAGTACTGGGAATAATCCAATGAAAGGGAAGTGGACAAAGCGATCGATTTTTGTGGATACTCCAATCAAAACAAACTTGAAATGATCCTCGAGGATAAAGTGCGAATTCACACCGGCACCGTCAGCGAGACAATTTGCCAGAGAACCCGACACCGAAATAAGAGGCCCTCCAGAACGGGATCCGGACCGTCCAATCTGGATTTCGTGCTGATTGTGGTGAGGAATCGACGGCGCGTGACCTGATCAGGTTCGCTCTCTCTCACCCTCTACGCCTGCCCCGTCGGATTTCGCGCTCCGGGCGATCTTACCCCCGTACTCTGGTTCAGACCATTCTCTCTGTGAAACCGGTCTGCGAAGTGAGCTTCACTTCTTCGATTCGAGCACGGGACATCGACAGGGTTTTAGATCGAGGTTTTTGGTTTGTGCATTCGATTCTGCTTTCCATAGCCAGTCGACATGGAGGCCTTGGCATGCAGAGGGTTGACCGCCACTGTGTCTCAGCAGTGGTCCGGCCTGAAGAAAGTCACCAAGGATGTGGGTGCCACTGCCGCGCCTTCTGGTGCTGTCCACAAATCGTCTTCTAGGGCGGTGAGAATGACTCTCTCTGTCGAGAAGAAGGCCTACACCACCCAAAGATCGGAGGAGATTTTCACCGCTGCAAAGGTCAGATACAGAACCCCTTCTCTGCTGTTTGTTTGACATTCCAACTTGGTTGACGTCTCATGTGAGCGCCAGAATAGCTCCGAACTCACTCCATTCCTCCTGGTCAAAGTGGTCAAAATGTGATTCATTCGTCACTATGATTTTTCTGTCACTGGTCGTATCATCCATCAATTGTCTCTGTCAATTCTCTGATGTTATGCTCTTTGAAGAAAGTGTGTGCTCTTTGCACCCTTTCGCGACGTGAATGCGCCGTGCGTGTTGGGAAATGTCATTCATCATCTCCAAATGGACCCCGTTTCTCATTCGTCTGCAATTTGGGTCCTTGTGGAAATGCTGCAGGAGCTGATGCCCGGCGGTGTGAACTCCCCGGTCAGGGCGTTCAAGTCTGTCGGTGGTAATCCCATCGTGTTCGACCGTGTTAAGGGTTCTCGATGTTACGACGTCGATGGCAACGAGTACATTGACTACGTGGGATCATGGGGACCAGCCATTCTCGGACATTGTGACGATCAGGTAATGAACTGCACACAATTCATTTCTTGTTTGTATTTTTTTAAGAGCTGCGACTGCTTGCTCAAAAAATCATTCGTAAGCCGATGAATATTTTATGCTTACGAAGCGTTCCCAATTTCCATGACAGATCAATGCTGCATTGATCGAAACCTTGAAGAAGGGTACCAGCTTTGGTGCACCGTCTTTCCTGGAAAACCAGTTGGCAGAGCTGGTCATCGAGGCGGTTCCAAGTGTGGAAATGGTTCGAATGGTGAACTCTGGAACCGAAGCTTGCTTGTCCATGTTGAGGCTGGTGAGGGCATACACCGGTCGCGAGAAGATTCTGAAGTTCGAGGGTTGCTACCACGGCCATGCCGACTCTTTCCTCGTCAAAGCTGGAAGCGGTGTTGCCACTCTGGGTTTGCCAGATTCTCCCGGAGTGCCGAAGTCCTCCACGGCGAACACATTGACTGCTGCTTACAATGATATCGAAGCAGTGAAGCAGGTCTTTGCAGACTACCCCGGAGAGATTGCTGCTGTCATTTTGGAACCTGTTGTCGGAAATGCTGGGTACATCGCCCCCAGAATTGAGTTCCTGAAAGCTTTGAGGGAGATCACCAAGGAGAGTGGTGCTTTGCTTGTGTTCGACGAGGTCATGACTGGATTCCGAATTTCGTACGGAGGTGCGCAAGAGTACTTTGGTGTCACTCCCGACATCACCACCATGGGAAAGGTAATCGGTGGTGGACTTCCGGTGGGAGCCTACGGTGGCAGAAGGGAAATCATGGAGATGGTTGCTCCAGCTGGCCCAATGTACCAGGCTGGAACTTTGAGTGGAAACCCTCTGGCTATGACAGCAGGTATCGAGACTCTGAAGAGACTCAAGGCCCCAGGTACCTACGAGCAGCTGGAAAGGATCACCAAAATGTTGGTCACTGGATTGCAGGCAGCAGCTGATGAAGCTGGTATCGAGTTCTGCTCTGGAAACATCAGAGGAATGTTCGGGTTTTTCTTCCAAAAGGGCCCAGTGTTCAACTTTGAAGACGCAAAGAAGAGCGACACCGCCAGGTTTGCTAAGTTCCACCGAGGCATGCTCGAGAGGGGTGTATACCTCGCTCCATCTCAATACGAGGCTGGATTCACCAGCTTGGCACACACGGAAGAAGACATCGCTTTCACCATTGCTGCTGCTAAGGAATGTTTCAAAACTCTTTAAGTGCTTAGATGTAGATTTTGTTTACTTGTACTAAAACCGAATGGGTCTAGGAATATCAAGGCTCTCGGTCGTGCATGTTGTCGCGGAGAGAGGAGCCTTTAGAGGATGTGAGATAAAATTCTTCGAGGAACACGTGTCTCGTACCGTCCGTCCGTAGGGTACATGTATACCCATTAGGGAACGCGCGAGAGCATGCAATTCAAATTTTGTCAGTGAAGCTATTCAGGAACACTTCCGATTGTGGGAATCCCAGAGTCCCAATAGTACTGTCGATTAACGTCAGCTGTAATTTACCCAGGACTTGCCAGCTCTTATATTCTGCTCCAAGATACTTTGTACTCTAATTATATGTTAAAAGGTTTGGGTCTTCGGCCTCCACGTCCAAAGCTTCACTCTGTTCACCAGGTTTTGATTTTGTGTTCAGAATGAGACCTCAAAAGACTTTGTTGCGATACAATTTGTGGGCAGTTTATTTTGCATCCACATGTACATATCTTGCGACAACTGGTTTCGTTTATGTAAATTAGCGCAGATTTGACATTTCCAGACAATCTTATGTAAGTGTTGCGAATCGTTCGTAGTCTGTAGTGAAGGCATACAGAATTTTGTCTCACCGTTTGTACTTATTTATCTAAGTTAATCATGGACTCTGCATATGGGCTTGTAATGATTGACAAGCCTATGGTATCACGACTTTAGTCAGTCTCCAGTTTCCATTCAGTTGTCAAAGTTCTCGACATAAGTCGGTGTAAGATATGTCTCCAGTCACCTTTGAACTCCGCCAGTTCCAGTCCGACGGTTCAGGTATTTTCTGAGAATTTATGGTATTCCATTAACTAATAAGAGTAGTGCAGTAACCGTAGTCAATGCTAGTCACGGTGCTACCCATATGAGCATACTTTCAATACAGGATGGGGGTTTGCTGAGAAATTCTTTTGCCCAGTCAAAGTGTGGATAGAAACATTGTCACGGTCGTTTCTTCATTTCCTCTCGAATACTCAGAATCAACTGCTTTGAATGTGAATGAGCTTTTAAGTTCATTTCTTGCTAGTCAAAATCGGGCATGGCGATAGTGAGAGGACATAAGTACAGTACTTCCTGGTTCGTAACTGGGATATTCAAAATTCCAGCGGATTTGTTGCACACTGTCGGACACAGTACCTGCTAAATCCTTAGCTTCCTTTTCTATCATGGCTCTTGTTAAATGAGTAGTTCCTCACCTTCGGGAGTAAAACCATTCACAACAAGGAGGAATGCATATTTTGATGTTATATGAACAAATTATGGTCATTTACTTCATGTTGTGCTGATAAATTCTGTGTAGATTGTACGCAAGGGTTGAATACATTCTTGATGGTATTGACATTTTGAAATCATAATACTACTTTTTACATACTGAGCCGTTCGTTCATGATGATAGGGGTATAAATCAGGTATGGATGGATAAATTAAACGTATGTTTTTCATATTCTGGACACGGAAAAGTATTTGTGTTAAGTTTTTTATTGAATGGTATCATCTGCCAATAGGTTAATGTTTCTACAAAATATTGACAAAGTCATGAACTGATTGTTTCGATGGTGAAGAAAAAAAGTGGTCAGAAGTGGTAGTAAATTTCAGAATGGTATGGTAGTATTCCGAAATCAATTATTTTTACGCTTGTGAGATTAGTTCTTTAGTACTGTTACAGAACAAAACATTATAATAAATAGTATTAATTCTAAGTTCGGTGAAATCATACGTTTCTATCACATGTGACCTATTGAAGTTAGTATGTAGATAACGATTTGATGTTGATGATCTCTTACAAATGATATGTAAATTAGACGTCGATGAAAATGTATTATGAGACTATATCATATAGGAAAGTTAATCACAATCCAGTGTTTGTTTGCGTGAAAAAAATGTTTATCTTCATATCTCCAATATCATTCTGTCCTAAATCAACTTTACACTCATCTCCTACAGTTTCATCCACTAAGTTTTAATTTCAAAAACTGGATTGACAAGAGTTACAAATTAGTAAGAAATCTAGAGCTACGGGATAACTTAGTTCAAATTGATAAATAGATTGAAAGTGGAACTTACCTATGGGTATTGTAATCAAGCTACTAGCCCGAATAATGCTACCAAGAAGACGAATTCTAATTTTTTACATTTGATTTATCTCCAAATACAAACTCATTTAATCTCAATAAAGAAAGTTTTTACATGTGTCGTGACAAATCAATCTATCTGAAAATCCCATCCCTCCCTATAATATCCATGGTTCGAAATGAAAAAGAAATTCAAATGCATCTCCAAAAACCTTTCGAATTCTTTTTTGATTGGAGCGAAGATCTTCTATCAGATCAGGGACTAATAGTAAAGCTTGTTCGCACAATCTTCGGAATTGAATAGATAATCATTTATATAACACCACCAAGAGTTGGCAAATATTGTACATGAAGTTTATGATAACTTTTACATGTCTCCTAAGATAGATGTAGATTCTGACACATATGTTCCAGTGTCTTTTACGTACGTATTAAGTAGAGAGCATTTGACTGTATGGGTTTAGCAATAGCATATATCAAACAGCGAGGAAAATCAATCCATGAGGGACTCGCTTCATCTTTGATCAGAAGAAATTAAACTGGTAACTAGTAAATAGCCCCAGTTTTTTATTTTAGGAAAATTTTGACTGCATTTAAAAATTCCGAAATGGTCAAGCTCTCTGGAATTATAAAAGAAAGATAAAAAGCAACTCTGGGCTCAGTACAGGAGACCTATTGGTCAAGCTGGAATTAGACAGGTGTTTTCTACTATATTGATCTTTTGAGGACCTTTTTCTTTTAGATCGGATATTGACCATAGACTGCTTTTACAAGCGGGAGTCACATGAAACTTATGGAATGACTTGTGCATCTCAGTGGAGGTTTCAGCAATGTAACGAGTCGATTAGAGAGAGCTTATTGAGGTCGTTGTCCCTCATCTTAAGTCAGAGCTTATCGACGTTGTTCTATGTAATCCTTTATAGATCAACTTGAAACTTGACTAGACAATGCAGCAGTCGGAGGATTTTATCATCATCCCGACCTTCTAAGGCTTTCTTTGTACGTGGAAGACGTAGTGCTATTGGTTGCTACTCCACTGTCAGTATGCCAGTATCTAATCATGTGGTTGTAAAATACGCTAATTGTTAACATCTTCTGAACCTCAAAGTTGATAAACTACCAGCAGACTACAAGTCGGCCGCATCCTCTGTGTACTTAAGAGACGGATCGAGCATTATGAAAGCAGCTCAGTGCATCAGGAGGACAATGGTCCGTGTATGAACACGATGCTCCACATTCCACAATTGAACTAAGAGAAATCAAACTCATGTGATTAGAATCGCTGGGTGCAAGGTTCTAGAACGAGAAACTTGCATTACAGATAAATGCATGTGCCACAAACATTTTTGGCGGAAACGGCGAGAGACATGCACCAACTGTTGATTGCGCAAGAGGATAGAGTCGGTCAGGTACTGGATCGAAGCTGGGAAACACTCATGCCATCGTCTCCTTCCTTACTCGACTCGAGACGAAATCCTAGACGAAAGAAAGCAGTGCTCAGATTCGACGAGGCCCCGAAGGAACCGACCGGCTGCAGAGGGTGGATGCGGTCAGAGGGAAGGCGGGGGAGTGGACGAGGCGAGGCACAGAGGAGAGGTTTGCACGGTGTACAGGAACGGGTCGTCGCAGTCGGTGGAGATGCCGTGGAAGGCGGCGACGCCGAGGAAGCGGTCGACGACGACCTGCGACAGCGTGGGCGTGCGCGAGATGATGAAGAGCGCCTGCTTGTAGTGCGCGCCGGGCACTTCGGTGCACGAGTAGATGAGCGCCGCGTTGTAGCCCTGGTTCGGAAACCCGTCGACGGAGAGGATGAGGTACGGCGCGCGCTTGGACGCCCACACGGCGTCCAGGCGCCCGGGGAACGTCGCGTTCTGGATGGCCACGCCGGGATTGGCCGACGCGAACCCGCCGGCCTTGCTGGAGTCCAGCGCGATGAGGCCGGCCACGGCCGTGACGCCCAGCGTGGCCAGGCGCACCTCGGTCGCCAGCGCCAGAATGGCGTTCTCCGCCGCCGCCAGCAGGAACACGGCCTGCCCGAGGTCCGGCACGGCTTTGATCGGCAGGTCGGCGCCGCCCGCGACCACCAGCTTGGCCGCGACCTGGATGATCTTGCCGCGCGCGTCGGCTAGGGCCCGGACCGCGCTCTGGATGTCGTCCTGCACGCGCCCGGCCTTGAGCGTCAAATTGAGCAGCCGCGACAAGTTGTCCTTGAGCGTGCCGTTGGCCTGGCTCAGCTGCGAGTCGAGGTACTGGATCTGCGTCACGTTCTTCGACAGCGAGTCGAGAGCCACGTTCACGGCGCTGATGGCCGTGCCGACGCTGGCGCGGACTGCGTTCAGCGTGGCCGACTCCGTCGGGTGGAAGAGGAATATTTTCCCGGCCGCCGTGGCCACCAGCGTCAGCGCCTGGTCGATCTGGCTGCCGGAGTTGAGCATCTTGCAGATGTCGCGCGCGTTCTGGCACAGCCCTCGCGCCGCGCCGGCGATCTGCTGCACTCCGAACTGCGCGACGTTGCCGACTGCGTTGACGCCCTTGTCCAGGAAGCTCATGTTGGCCGTCCTCGGCCCCCAGAACGACGTCGAGGTCATGACCGTGTAGTTCGTCTGGCTGCAGGCCATGCCCGCCTCCTTGGTCAGCTTGAAGCGCGCGCTGCTGCCGATCTCGTACCACTTGCCTCCGAACGCCGTGATGTCAACCAGATCGAATGTCGGAGGGCTGGGGCATTTGGTGACATTCGGTGCGTTCAGGCAGAACCCGGAGCTAAATTCTTCCAAGATGCCTCCCAGAGCCGCCGGACTCAGACTGCTCAGCACGAACATGGCTGCCAGCACGAAGGCCGCAGGTTGCTTCGACGGGAGTATCATTTCGATCCTTGCCCTTCCTCGTTACCTGCACCCGCAAGCAAATTCAGTTCATTCTTTAGTTCCAGATCCACCAATGGCGCAGTGCTCCCGCTCCTGCTCATCCACATTCATAATTGCCTACTATGTTCTCGATGAAGACTTAATGTCGGATCGGGACAGGCACATATATGCCCTTACGAAATTGATACGCTTAGAAGTTGTGAGCTGGGCATGACTGACGGACTGACAGAGTATCTGCAGCAACGAAGGCATCTGTATGTATCGTCGTAACACAGCTACATTTTCCCCGGATTCCGGAGCGACGTTCCATTAAGAAGGAGCTATGAACATTGACATAACTTTGTCATGGGAAGATTTGCAGGTTTTCCTGGATCTAGGTCTGATCAATTGTACTCCATACTGTCCACGACTTAGATCGAAATTTTCCGTTAAGGATTAAGATTCTTATTGTGTCGTTCAATCTGCAGACTCTCTAGCACTGACGGTTGCACATTCCGCCTGCGAAGGTCAAGAGACCAATGAACTGTCCGACGAACCGAGAGAGCGAAATTTCAGTATCCTATTCCAACTTTGAGCACTTTTGGAAGCCCTTCCGAGTAGTAATGACGCTATGATAGCTCGACGAGCACACAACAGTACCGCATCGTGCTCTTGTCAAGGAGGCCACAGAATAAGTTATACCGTCTGCACACTTGGGATCAACTGCCTCTGCTCCAGCGCAGCTCAGTGGATCAATTCAAGCATCAACTTACAGCAGCGTCGTGCAGTCTGGGCTGAGTCTGAGCTCGATCGCCGGTTTCCCCAGCGTGTCCGAACTTGATCGCTTCAGCAGCTGCTTGACGGGTTCACGTACACGTACTGGGGCCGTGACCTTCTTCCCATGCACGAACGAACCAAAATCACGAGATCAAGGCAAGATAAGCCAGCTACGATAGCAACGAATTTTCGAGCTCACGAGTGAGACAGAAGCAGCTCGCTTCTTGTCCTCCATGTCCCACGACTAACAACTGAAACGGCGCTAACTGATTCCATCATCGATTGTTACCATTTCGGAGAACTTTCTTCTCGACGGACTCCACCACAGTTGCTTCTCCACCGAAAGCCCCGGCAGATGGCCCTCCTGGTCATCGGCAGTACACTACTCTCAGATCTCGTTTGGACTTCGATAGAATTTTGTTAATTATAGCCTCTAATGGCCAATTTTTGTCTTTTTATCAATTCATTAGTCAGTTCTATTTGGTAAAAATATGTTACTGATATTATCGTTTGGATTGTCAGTTACTAAAAGAAATCGATCATTAACTTGCCAAGTTTATGAAACTACACAGATGAGCATTATTTACTCAAATTTGATGTAATTTAGACTAATGTATTATTTTCTTAGAATTTTTGTAACCATTATATAAACCATGTGTAAGTTTTTAAAAAATTATTTATGATCAATGTGTTTGGAATTTTAGTCAAATTTTGATTATGAAAAATCAACATTCTTACATTAAAAAAATGTTCATATATTGTTGGCACTAATGTTTATAAGACTATATTTTATAGAAAACTTTTTTCTCCATACATTCAAGAGCTTGAAAAAACAATACAACGTTCAGTTTTTGTTTTTCAAAATTTTATGATTAAATTTTTTTTTATCAAAATTAATAAACAAATTACTATATCATCAATCTCTATTGTTAAGATTAAGATGTTATTAATAGCAGCTGAAAAAAATATTTAAAATTTTTTGGATTAAAATAAAAATTAAAAATTGATGATAAAGTTTATTTAGCTTTATTTTATAAAATTTTTAATAACAACATAAAAATTTAATTATGATAGATTTCTTCGAATAATTTAAGAAGGTTTTTTTGAATAAATCAATTAAAATTTTAATATATGTTTATATTTTAGTGATTAGGTTTGTAATATGATATCATGAGTTTTAAACTACTAAACTTGGTTAGAAATCAAAACTATTTTGATATTGATAGATATAATTTTTTTTAATTATTATTTATTGAAATAATTTTTTTATTATGAAATTGATTAATAAAGGTTACTAGATATAATCTCTTACAATTTTGGTTTCAAAATATTTGATTATGTGATTTGAGAATATTATGTTATTTTTTTCTAAACTAGTGTTAGTTTTCGAGTTTTTATTAAGTTACATGACATACAATTCATTTACATTATGTTATGATTTAAATTTATAACATCATTGATGATAAAAAGAAAATGTTAATCATTTTTATAACATAATTTATTAACTTACTTACAAAATGGGAAGAGTTGTATTTTTTTATTTCATCAATGTATGAATTATTATGGTGAAATGTTATCTTTCAAATCTATAATATATAATTTAAAAATATTTAATTTTTCATATTTTCATAAGAAAGTTATATATGAAAGAGAGTGATTTGTCTAGATGTTTATATTTTTCACAATTTGAATGACATTCTTATAGTTGATATTTTTTCCTTTTATTGATTATAATGATACTGAATTTGTTTTATTTTTTAATATTAACTTGTCATGAAATTGCACATGAACGATGACTAACTTTAGATTTTTATAAAAAATCGACAAACATCATTGTTTTGCTCATAAAGTAAAATGAAAAATTTGCAAATTATGATTTGCATAAAAGAACATTCAACTTTATTTATTGAAGAAACATTTTTTATTGTACAATATGATGTGTTTATATGCATATTATATTTTGAATAATGAGATGAAAGATATAGATTATATTTCGATTGTTGGTAAAATATGTAAAAGAATTTACATAAAATATATACATAATATTATATGAATTTGAAAAAAAGTTTATCTGCTCTGATTTGAATTGACAGGTATGTGAAAAAAAAACATGATTTTTTTGGTGTGAAAAAATATGATGAGAAATATTATAAAGCTACTTTAGGCACAACTGAAATTTTTGTAATTTATAGTTTGAGATGCTAGATAATTATCATATATATGTTGTATCGGTATGCCTGAATGAAGTACATCTTTGGATTGAGGTATAAATTGTAATCATGGCAAAATTTAAGAGTTAAGACCAGTCATAATATGTACAAACATACAAAGCAATAAATAATTAAATATAAATTTTTTTACATTTATAAAAAAATAGTAAAGAATTAAAAGCATGAAGATTGCAACTCCAATACACAATACTCATATTTAATTAGAAATATTTTTTACTAACATGATAGAGGCAAATAAAATCGAATTCAAGAAATTAAAAATCAAATCAATTTTTGATTTGGAAGAAAAAGACCATGTAGGTGAAAACATAAATATTAATAATATAATGAATATTTTAGATAGATTAATCACAAAAATATAATAAATATAATAGTATTTCATTATTACGTTTTATATTTCAATGACGTAATGTGTTTTGAAATTTAATCTTGCTGATAAAATTTCTATATGAATTAGATTCTTGAGAAGGAATATTGTTTAAAATATATGATGTAATGTAAATTTTGTTTGCAAAGATTAGATATATTATGTTTTTTTATATAAAAAAGTTAAATATTGAAATTTGATGAAAATTTTCTATGAATATTAGAACATTTATTATGAATGTGTGTGAATCAAAAGCTTTCAATGTATTTAAATGAAACATGAAGATCACATTACAAAATTTAACAATGAAAAGTAGTTTATAAATCATAATTATTTGAATAATTACAATTTTCAATAATATTTGAGGTGTTTATAATTTAAGAGACAATGAATCATCAAATAATGTTTAAAATCATTTGATTCATTTGGTTGATGTAATTGAAAAACTTTTGACATAATTGATTATAAATTTTTTCAAGAATGTAGATCAAATTCTTAAAAGAAGATTTGCTTATCTATAAGATTTTTATTTTATATTTTTTTGTTTATAATTTAGAGATTGAATTATAAATATTTAAATCAAGACTAAGTTCAGCTATTAAATCTTTATTTGAAATAAAAATAAAAATAATTATATAATATATGAACATCATTATTTTTACATTTGATCAAAATTTAGTTTTCATATCATAGTTTTTTCAATTAAATGTTATCATTTGACTTACATGACATTAAAAAGTTGATAGAATGAAAATATCAATTTAATATGTACAAGGCCTTGAAGGACATGTTTTTGTTTCATCATAAGAGCAAAGAATGTACATTGATTTCTAAAATGTCTACATAGGGTAATGACATATTGTAATGAATTAATCATGAGTTTCAATTATATTTATCAAAATTAATTTAATAAAAATAATGCATATGTCTTAATTATTTATCTATCTAGAATTTCAAAAATAATAATTTTAAATAACGTATTTTAAGTACAAAGATGATGACAAGAATTCAATATGAAAATTAAACATGTGAAAAGAAAGTAATTTTTGGGTTTTTTTGCTAAAATTTCATATATAAATAAAAAAATGAAAAAAATTTAATCTATTTGTGAAACGGAGTAAGACATGTATCAAAGAAGCATGAAGATATCATGAAAATAATTCAAATTCAAAGATATTAATATTTTTGAGGTTTTATGTTTAAATACAATGCATGCAGATTTCGAAAAATCTAAAATTTAAAAGAATGATTTCATTGAAAATCCATGATAACATAAATGCTAACCATATGAATTGAAAAAAAGATTATAAATTGCACACAAGAGATGAACTATAGAAAGAAAATGTTGAATATGAAAAAATTTATTTATCTGAAAATGTTTGAATCTTTATAGCTTGTCAACAAAACAAGATGAATTTTCAATAATCAATTGCTTTAATATATTTTTTTAAGTCATCTCTTGATAAATATATATTATTTAACATATTTTTTCATTTAATAATAAATTTAAAGCAAAAAACAAGGTAATTAATATATTTGAAAAATTTGAATTTCATCGATATATATTATTATTAAAACTTCATTGTGTTTAATTTTAGAATAGTTTTAGCAATATAAGTTTTTTTTTTCACACCTGAGTGTATTATTACTCATATGTATTTTATATATTTTATCATATGTTATAATATCATTTCTTACAATATTTAGCATAAATTTTTTCTAAGTGTGTGTTTTAATTTGATTCTTTTATCAAGATAGTTAAATCATTTCATGATTAGTCATTTCAATAAAATGATAATTCATAAGACATTATTTTCAACCATACAATTTTCATCTTAAAAATTCATCACATTGAAAAATATTTAATTTGTATTAAAATTAATTATAAGTATAGATCAAATCATCAATTATTGTACCATCAGAATTTAGAGAGAAATTTACTTGAAGATGAAACATAAACCTTGAAGATTAGAGATATATTAATTTATTTTATTCTTACTTAATTAGATATTACAAACACATACATGAAGATTAAAATCTTTTCCTGGTATCCAATTTTCTGCTAGTGGTGTTGAGATTAACTTGGATTAAAACGTAACCTCATGTCTTGTCTATTTATAACCAAGTAGTTGCAGGTGCTAGAAAAAATAATCCCAAGGTTTGTGTATTACCTAGAGACTTCTTAATACACACTTTCACACGTGTAAGCTTTCCTGTTGTTGACGTAGTCTTTAGAAGTGTGAATCACGTTATACTTTGTGTCTTGTGAGTTAACTTAAATTTTGATGGAATGAG